CATATATATATATATATATATATATATATATATATATGGATTATGGTCCCATTTTGCTAGACACCAACGTGGGATATAGGGACCATGGTCCTTTAATTCCAACCCTTAGTAGCAGAACCTTGGATATCTGGTTGGGGCCTGGCCAATAATGATGACAAATCATGTCAAATTCCACCCACAGTACATGAATTAAATTCCAGGTGAAACGCATACCTGTTCTGGATGTAGTGTGGTTCCCCCACTAGGGTGCCAATCTTCTGTTGACACACCCATACCTATGCAGATAATTTCTGTATGGATAATGCTCTCACTGGCCCCTTCACCTTCTCCATGTAGGATTGTAGCTGTAAGTGTGTTTTGGAAGTTAGCATTTCCTTAAATCAAAAATGTATTTCCAATAATACTTCCTCTCACACTCTCCTGCCCTTCCTCCCCACTAAGAGCCAGTGTTAGAGACTGGGACTGCCTTAAAATTGTGATAACATTATCTGAATGAGATGCATGTATGCAGTACCAATAGAGAGGGCACATTGACATAGGTAGAGAGTGTCACAAGACAAATATTGCCAAGGGCAATTAAGTGGGGAGCAAATGAGAAAAAATCAGAAAGAAACCCTGGCAGTCGAGTAATAGCTGTAAGTATGAGATGAGGTAAGTATTATTGGAAATACATTTTTGATTCAAGAAAATATTAACTTTTTTTTTTAGCAAAGAGCTATTTGATGAATTTATGTTTTGTGGGTTTTGGCATTGTTCTTGAAAGAATTGAATTTTATAAGTTAGGAAAATTATACAGCTATCTGTTGAACTAAGAATATAACTCTGCAAGTTTTTTCCTTGCCTTGGGATATATAAATGGATTTTATGAGAGTGGAATGCAAAAGTCATTGGTGAAGGACATGATTGAAGTGACATGAATAAAACTGATGTAGTAAACTCTTAAGAGAATTTTATATTCAGGTGCAAATGGGGTTTACTTTGTTGTTGTTGTTTTTTGTTTTTTTTCCAAAAAAAATTCAAGAACTTCAAAGGACATCAACCATTCAACTGCCTATAAACTTAGGAATCCGTGGTGGTTCCCAGACCTCTAGGTTTTCAAAGCTGTGTCGAGAATTTCTAGAGAGAACCCTAAATTTCATTTTAAGCTGTTATGTTATATAGTCAACAGAAGATTGTCTAGGGACTAAAGATACGGTATTTCATATTGAACTTAGATTTTATCTGTAATATATGTTATAAGAGCCTGTTTAGTTTTTAATTACATATCCAAGAGTATAATTAGTAATCTATAAACAGAAGGTGCTAATTTTTGGGTCATGCCTTTCAAAGAAAGTTTGTAATTTTCATGTAAAATGGTGCATTTTTATGGTATCTGAGGATGTATTTGATTAATTTTAGTCATATAAAATTGCAATTTAGGGGGTTTAATAACATTCACTGCATCCCTACACATATGATATGCCATTAAACGTACAGAACTTGAAATTAATGCTAGCAACTTGCTGGTCAATATTGCAATTTTGCTAGTAAAACTTAAAAGGCACTAGAAAAAAAAATTAAACATTTTAGAAGAAAAATTGGAAGATTATTACTAATAAGTATCAGTGCATGCATGAAACATGCTTTTCATTCATTTACATTGTCAAACTCTGAGTATAAAAACTTGTGATAATTGTGATTTTTACTTACCTGTGCCACACCAATTTTGTGATTCCCATTTGAATTGCACATCACACCTAGACTAAGTGTCAGGAAATGAGGATAGCAAGACCACAGCTTCAGGTCATTTCTTTGAATGTCAAGAGAGTTAGCACATGGTCCTGCTGGCTTAACTGATGCAATCCAACCTAAGTGCAGTTTTGCTGGCAGTGTCATTAGAAATACTTTGTCCAAGTGACTGCTCATTGTAAGTAGTAATAAAATTTAAACATTTACATGGCATACTTTTTTTTTGTTTTTCACATTCTTCCTACTTTGTCCATTATTAACTAAGATCTTGGACCTGTTGCCAGCTTTCAGTGTTTAAGCCTTAACTATTAATAATAGTGTTTTTTTAGGTAGCAGTAGGGTATTGTAGACTTTGTCAATCAAGGCACGTGTGGCCTAGATACACCAGTTTTTCCACCCAAATCTAGCATCTATTCACTTTTGTGAAATAGTTGAGATAAAAATGTTGTTACATATAATTTAACATAAAGTTTGATATTAAAAAATATCTGAAAAGAAAACATTACAGAGAAGATTCATATATATATATTAACATTTAATACATGAAATAATTAATTATAACATAATTACACTTAATTTTAGAGAAGAATAATGCTCTAGTAGTCCCAAATTTTCTAGTAGGAAAAAGCAATTGTCAATCATATGCTGGTACTTTCAAAAGTTAAAATTGAGGCCTGTATAATGTTGTTCTTCTTGTTTCTTGCTAGTGGAAGTTGATGATTTGTTTTTACACCACCTTTCTCTAATTTGTTTTTCTTTGTTAAATTACTGAGACTAGTGAAACTTTCCTGTTTCTTCTGGGCATAAATTCATCAGACTGATGACATATTTCTCCCTAGTGTATGTTCCTTTCTGTTTAGTGACAGTGTAAATTTGGAAATTACTGGTGTTTCCATCAACCTACTTCCTTACTTAATATCTCACTGTTTAAGAGCAGAGCAGTAACATTTTTCCCCCAAATTACATTTTTTTTTTTACAGATTAGACTGTTATGACCAGTAAAATGTTTCCTGTCAATGGGGTTTCTGCTAAATACTTTTGTAACATTTTGTAATCATTGGGTGGGTTATTTTGAGGTATTTGATGAAAATAATGCCAAGCTCAGTCCCTGTAACAATAATTAGTTAGTTTATTTTTTCCATAATATTCTCCAGCCTACATTCACTTTAATACAAGTTGTAGGCCTAAGTTCTCAAACAACATTGCAACAGTAATTTCAAGACTAATATTGTCTATGCCAAACTTACTGGTAACTTACAGAATTTCTTTACTGGTGATCAGTTGACTGAATAGATGCAATAACTCTCATTGTTTCACTTTACTCATAGTTATAATCACCTTCTACTCACAACACAAATTTTACAGCTCATACCATCCTACAGCCTCATGCAAAGATTTGAAAATAAAGCTTACAATAATATCTTTTTTCTTTTTTTTCATGACCAGAGAATGCTTTTCATCAGTTCTTATGGTGTTCATAATATGACTGATTTTTGTTAATACCACTCACTTCTTTCTTGACTGTCTAGCTTACTTATGTTTTGAGACTGACAATATGCTCATCTGCAGCCCTTTCTCAGACTGTTGTGATTGTAAAAGGCTGTTAGATCAATGAGACTTAAATTATTTCTTTTGTGTGGGTATAGTTTTAAGAAATTATTTATTTATTGTTATGTGCTTTTATATCATTTTAGGGTGATGCAGATGATTTACCTTTTAAGAAAGGAGAAATTTTAACTATAATCTCCAAAGATGAAGAGCAGTGGTGGACAGCGAGAAACTCATTTGGTCAGACAGGCTCAATTCCAGTGCCCTACATAGAAAAAGTAAGTCATTGCTGTTTTAGGTATTTAAGAAGACAGGCAAATGTAGTTTTTGTGGGTATCCAAAATGTAGACATTGGACTTGGAAATAAAATTTTTAATGTTTGAATTTATGGGATTGTTACTATCTCTTTTGCATTAATGTATAGTCTTAACTGTTTTGTTTTTTTTCCTTTAGATACCAATGTTTTATAAATCTTGGAAGTTTAGGATCCTGTACTTTAATAGGCTTATAATGTTATTTTAAAAGACTTGTTTTGAAAGCCACTTGTAAGTTTTTTTTTTATATTAATAAAATCGAATAAAACATATCCATATTTCATTGCCCCAAACTAATTTAAGCTTTGGGTGTCATTCTTTCAAGCTTGACAACAATGAAAGTATTTTGTTGCTTACCCATACTTCTAAGTCATCTCAGTACTTTAAATTTTCAAGGAACTATTTAATCTGAAAGATTTAAAATGAAATTCTTGAAATTAATAAACATGTTGCACATATCTGTTTCACATATAATCCTAGCTACAATAGAAAATGAGATTAATGTTTTTTAAGAAACTGTAATTGATAATAATAAAAGGGATAATGTGATTGAATCATGTTAATTAAAGCCCAGTTTATTTTCCCAGTCCAAAAAAATTGACTGTTACATTACCCTCTACTAGTGAACGTGCTATTAATTAAAAAAATGAATTAAATATAATAGGGTAGTAAGAAATGTGTACATAAAAGTAACACCTTTGGGATCTGTGAGTAACTTCAGGAAAAGCCAAAAATATTATAAATGCATCTAACCATTTTATTATAGTAGCCATAGTGCAGAATGAATGTAAACTAGAGTAATGGAAAGTTTACTCATTGCTCATAATAACTTAATCCTTATTACCTGACTACATTCTGTTAGTTATTTGCCACAGGCAAAAGCTTTTCATTTGTGACTTAACCCTTAACCCCTTTAAACACTTTTCTACACAGTTCACTGTGTTGCATTCAAATTTAATTTAACACCTTTACTATCAATATATGTGAATGAATTCAATATTATAATGTATGTTATGATTCAAAATTTTATTTTATCCATGATTTAAGTCCTTTATTTCAAAATAAAGCTATGAAAATTCTCTAAGTTGGCTCTATATATCTTCAATAATACAATTGTTGTTGAGTAGACATACATGTAGACAATAAGATGGTTATATAACCTCAAAGTTCTCTGAATGAATACAGTTGAAACAAGTAATAAATTTTTCCACCCCTGACAGGTGCCATGCTCACCTTCAACAGATTTGTTTGAGCTTTATAGCCTACATGTAGATGTGTATAGTCATTAGACAGAGCTCATTTTACACTATAATCTAACAATGGTTATTTTGAAATTGGTGCCCAGTTGTTGTCGTGGAGTACATGGAACTGACTGTAGTATTGTTGGCTGCTTGATCAACTATAACACTTATGGTTGTTCTTTACCTAAATATGTAATAGTTAGAGATACAGTTTAAATTGTATTTAGGTCTTACTATTATATTTTAGTTTATTATGTATTATTTATGTTTCAAAATGCATAATTAAAAGGTTTAAACATTTTTTTAAATATACATCATACTTTGTGTCCATTCTCAAGGTTTATGATATTATGTGTTGAACAAAACTTTTGATGATGATTTTTCCAATGTGGCTAAAAAAATATCTTAAAGGGAATATAGCATAGTATAAAGATACTGTAGTATATCTCAAGGGCACTGTTGACTTGTGTCAAGATGAATAATAAGTAGTAAAGGACAAGAAAGGAAAGTAAAATATTAAAAATTAACTATATGTGAAAAGACCTGAAATTATGAATTTAACAAAAGGAAAATCTACAAAAAATTAAAAGGTATGTATTTTTTCTTCTATTCCCTAATTTTAATTTTTCATTGTACTGTACATTGATGATAATAGCTAGAGTTAGTGACAAGGTAGAGAAAATGTAAACATTTATCTTAAAAAAACTTTTGATAACCTTCAAGGAGGTCCTGGAGATTATGTAAATGAAACATGAAAACAATAAGATAAAGAAAAGTATTTTTATTCTTAAAATGAAAATCACTTTGCATCTGATTAGTTATTAGTTTGAATGCAATTAACTACAATAGAAGAATAACATATTTTTAGTAAAAACAATTGTAATAACATTATTTTTTGTGTACAAAATACTTGTGATCGTTAACAAAATCTTACCAGGTTTTGAGAGGATACGTTAAAAAATCTCAGAGTTACCATATGTATTGTTTTACAAGTGAAATTTGTGAATCGATTTTCACAAATTGCATGAGCCTGATGTGAAACAGTTATTTAATTTTCACCCACTGTGCTTCATCCATTACAACCATAAGTTTGTAACTGTTACTGTCTTGTGGTTTAAGTTTGTAGTACATTACACAATTATCACATGCTTTTTACTGTGTATAATGAAACAATTTTATGGTTGTCTTTAAAATTTTTAATGAAGTGTACATTTTTCCAATGTGACTTAAAAAATATCTGAATTACTTCAACCAAAGTGGCTAACAAAATCAATATCTTAAAGGAAGTATAGCATAGTATAAAAAAATATATGTTTTCTAATATAAAACTATTACTCATACAAAATCTGTTAATTTGCAGTTTAATAGTTAATTAATTCTTGATAAACATTCTGATTTTATTTGGTATGAGGAAAAAATTCTCTTCAGAATTTTAGTGGTCTATATAGTAATAGTAGAAAATTTGAACCAAAGAGTAAAATAATTACTAAAGAAATTAAAATTCTTCAGTGAAATAATAGTGAGGAATATTAATAATGAAAGAGACAAAGGATATTTAAAGCATTTTTTGGTTAGTATATTAAGAAAAATTTTATGAATTATCTTCCACATTTGAAGATCTTTTTTTATTGCAAAATATATATACATGTTATACAGCATCCATCTTGGCTGTTGTATATAATGTCACATTGCAAGTAACTATTCTGTGTGGTTGCATTGTGTATTGTTACTTAGAATATAGAATTTTGTTTCTTCAAACTTATTTGTCACTTTAACATTATAAATAGTTCCTATTATCTTGAGATTTCATTACTTGATTAGGTTTGACGAATATGACTTAATCTCTTAGACATTTAAAATTCTTTCCATTATGCATATTATTCAGTACAAGAAAAATATATTTTGTGACTCAATTTAAATATTTGCAATATCTCATAGAATTCCAAGAATAACCAGCAATGCATTTATTCTCTACGCAGGGCTCTTTACTCTTTCAAACACTGCTTATAGTAAATATTGATTTTTCAAGGAAATAATTATTTTACAAAACAAAAATATTATACTAGCTGGAGTACCCGTTTCTGACGGAAGTTATGTAAA